GATTTCCCAGAAAGGGTCTGGGAATTTTTCCCAAATTGGTGTCTTGTAGGCATTTCCTTGCTTACCTGCAAATTCCTGAGGTCACCCCGCTTAACCTCTGTTTCGTTCGTTTTGTCTTTGCCTTCATTCACACCACCCCAGCCCTTTGCTTGTCAGCCCTGTCCATCACTCCCTCACAGGCTGCTGGTAATGGTCTTCATTTCACACCACTCCCAGCTTAAAGACCTTCTCACCAGGTCAGCCATCCTACTGGCAAACCTTTGCCTCCCTTAGTGAGGTGGATGCCATCTCTTCCAAGCAGATGCTGATCCTCAGGGTCCCGTGGTTACAGAAATCAAAACCCTGTTGTCAACACCAGCTGCACAGCTGGCAGAGCTTGGTTTGTTCCTTCCAGAGATACGCCCTGAACGTAAGACCTGCCAATGGTTTAGGGCTTTTTTATAAATACGTAAGATTCACTTAAAGTCAGCATTTTAAAATGCTTCTTTAAGTGATACTGAACATGTATATCTATATTTTACTGCGTGGCATATAATACTTCAGATGATAACACCTGTAACATTTATGTCCTGCTTAAAATGAATAAATTTATTTAAAGAACAGGCACTCAACTTATTCAATACCATTTCACCCTCAGAAAGCTTTGGCAAACCTGTCAGGTCTGAGTGAAAATTATTGAGGAATCCAAAAGCCAAGGAAAGGAAGGGAGAACAGGCAGCCAAGGCACATCGTTTCCTTAAGGAACAGCAGGGTTAAATATTCAGTATGCTATCCTGATCCTATGTAATATAAAATCTGTGGGCCTAAAATACCAGTCTGACAGGCTTCACAGACTGATCTCATTTACCTGCCTCACCTACACCATAATCTTCTGAACTATGTTGGAGATGTTACGACACTCACATTGAACTAACAGGAGTGAGACCATGCTCAGGCTTTAGAATTTCATTAAGTCACTGGGTTATCTGAATGCATAATTTCCACCACAAAAAAAAAAAAAAAAAAAAAAAAAGTATTCGAATTCAAGTTTCTATATTGTGACGTAAAGGTGCCCTTACTTAATTCTGAAGATAGCCTTTAGTAAGCAGCTATTTGCAGTGGTTTTATTCATGATTGCTGATGTTCCTGCTGTAGGAGCACCATTGCCAGGCAAATCCACAGCCTTTCTTGCAGGCTGAGATTCCTTACTGACTGGAGTGAATTTTAAATGTAAACTATGCTGTCCAGCTCTTAGTGATCATTTTTTTTTGACCAAGTGAAAAAAGCATCAGTAATAATAATGCTAATAAACAAAGCCCACACTTGCAGTAGTGGAACTCTATAAATATGTATACCTGTCAGGAACCAAAACTACATGCAGAATTGCTAGTGCCCTCTTCAATTTTCTGTGAGGAAAATTGGTTTAAATCAGTAAGCCAGATATCTTGGCAGATAGGTTTAACTTGTAACTATGTCAGGAAAGTACATCAGAGTACAGTTCAGAGAAGAACCTAGGAAGTTAACCATACTGTAAGTGACAGCTGGGGATGACTTTTTGATATGTCCCTCCGACATGGACAACTGTGGAGTTGTGTCTCTGCTGAGTCCACAGATAGAAAAATGTCACTTTTTATGGCCTGCTGCCCTCGCTAGGGAGCAGATATTCAGACATATATTGCACCTTAGAGTCACTTGAAACAAGGACCTTCCCCGAAGCACACTGAGGTCAATGGGAGGCTTTCCATTAAGTGGTTTAGGTCAGGATTTAAGGCTCTTACTTTAACAGCTGACAAATATAAGCACATGAACTTGGAGACTGACATTCAGGGGACTACCCCTGTGCCCAAAATGATAATAAATCAAGCCTTAATTGAAGAGCCTCAAATGTTACAGTCATAATAATAATGGAAAGAAATCAGAAAATATGAGCCAGTCCTATCTATTAAATCTCTTAAATGTACAACGTTCACTAGTCTTAAAGAGGAAGAAGTGAACAATTTTCCGTATGTATCTTCAAGTGTATTACAAATAATGAGAAGCTTATAGGCAATCATGAGGGCCGTAGGCAAGGAAACAAGTTGTGTTACCCAGTGTCTCTTATTAGCTGGATGTCTTCGAAGGGTGGTCACCAAGAGGAAACACTAGATATGTAGACTTAGCTAACATTTAGATTACACGAATTATAACAAAACCTTTATATGAAAAGGGCTGTATAACAGTATGCAACAAATACATTTTCTGCTTCTCTATCCCGTGAAACATCATCACATTACCAGTCACATTTATACAAATCCTGTATGGCCTTTCACCCATATGTTCAAGCACACATTGAATAGGATCTTTCAAGAACATCTATTCACAGAGAGCTTTTATTAAGAAACAATATAAATAGCATAATAAAAATGTCATAGCTTCTGGGGGAAAAAAAAAAAAAACAAAATGCAAAGTGAAAAACACCAGCACAGTATCAGTGTGAACACAAACCAAGAGAGACGAGGAGAGCTTTGTTGATCCGGTTACTCCTCCAGCTGTAAGCAGATGTTCTCCATGTTGTGCAGAAGTGAAGGCAAATGGACCCATGTGCAGTGGGTGGGTGCAATGAAAAGCTGTTATTTTTCAGTTGTGCCAAAAACATTTTGTTTCCTTCATCTCAAAAAGACATCTATATTAATCTAAGGTGAAGAATCTTAAATCATATTTTCAAAGTCATTTATGAAGATCCGTATCCCTTTTCTGAAAACAGGAGCAGAGAACCTATTTGTCACACATCCTTTTTTGACCAACACATTGCCCAAAGAAACCCATTTCTTTGTCAGCCTGTTGGCCCCCAAAATAAATAAATGTCTGCGTCTCCCTTTGAGTCTTTTTGTATATATCTGACAGAATGCATCAAGGCTTCACCCAGATCTTCTGCTTTTTTGCTCTTTTCCAAACTCTATCTATTTCCCTGTATATCTGAAATTTTGCATAATTTGTGGCAAGTTAATTAACCATGCAGAGCCTCTCTGGTGTAGCAATCTCAAACCCATTTGCATCCAGTGCAAATTTATTTCAGCTAAGCCTGATCTATGTCAGAAAACCAGATCATCAACCCAGACCTTTGGAAAACACAATACAGTGTGTGCTGTCAGCTTCGTTGCAATGAGCTGGACGTTCAGTATGGACATGATTCCTACACAGGCTTTGTAAATGATGTACTTCTATGGAGTGCAAATTCTGAGAAACTTGCCTAATAGAAACTTGCTGAGAGATAATATTAACGGAAGGAACTATTTCAAGCACTGTCCTGTATAGAGTTGAATTTTACCATATACTCAGGGACTTTACAAAATCAGAGCACAAATTCCTATGACTTCCCCATAAACCAGCTGCCAAGGGTGAAGCGACAGCAGAAGCACCACAGAAGATGGAGGAAGGGAGGCAGTAGTCACTTGGCCTAGTGCTGGCCCTGGAAGCTGGCCGTCCCTTAGCAGCCTGTATAGATAATGGAGAAAAAAGACATTTGGGTAGATGCGTAGCACCTCGGGTAGGGCAGGTGTGAGTGCCGTTGGGCTGCCACGGGAGGAGGCTAGGAAAACAGCCATCCTCCAGCTGAAGTTGGTCTTTGTGAATGCTGTCCTTAATCTTTGAAATACCAACTTCAACTGGACCATCAACACTGTTTTGCATGGGCAGAAATATTGAATGCAAGTTATTTCTGGCCACAGGTTAATTAAAGCGTAAGAGACTAAAGCTGGTCGCATTTTTTTCCTCTTACATGTAATCCTTAAGTGTTTTAAATTCTGCAAAACACAGATAGAAGAAAAGAATTTTCTTTCGCGTCAACTTTAGTAATGACTTGGGTATCTAGCAATGACTCAGGGAGGCAGATACCACTTATTAAATAACACAGAAACAAAGAGGACATGGTAGAGCTTGGAGTTGTAAATATCCTTCAGCTGAGAAACAGCTGTCAACAAAGCTTATTATTTGGTTACAATTATTATTTCTCTATCCTTTCTACTCAACTGAATTAATTAAATCTGTTGCAGACATAGGTATTATTTAAGCTCATGTTTCCTACTCTTATGTATGCTTTAAAAATATGAAAAGAAAAAAAGTTTCCTTATTGTCTTCATTCCCTATGCACCGGTTGGGTAAATTCTTTGATCCAAGGAATTAGGACTATGAACCAAAGCTGTAAACTGAAGCATTGTCAGGCACTGGACTCCAGACAAAATCCAGATAAAAACTACATGCCATTGATTTATTCCTATAATAAGCTGAAATCCAAAATCTGATTTTTAGGAAAGAATGTGAGCTGCCAGCTAGCACTGCACTTTTATTCACTAGAGTGCCTAGGCAAATGATTAAGCAAATTCTCCAGTTCCATTGATCTCAGAACATTCTCCTGAGGTCAGAACCAGAATTTGATGAACAGCCCTGGATTTAAACTTATGCTGATTTACAGTCTGAATCTAAATCGGTATCAACTTTTGCTTTTAGGATCCATTAGGAATAGCTGGTACTGTACTGCAAGGCAGCAGAATCAGACTATATGAACCCTTAGCCCTTCACACCTTCATCAGTGATGAGAGGCAGTCAGCATCAGCTCAAGTGACCGGGGAGGGGGGGGGGTCCTGTCATGTTAACTCCTTTTCCTGTTTTAAATCTGTCCTTTTTATGATGGGGATAAACCGTGTGTGTGTGTGTGTGTGTGTGGTATATCCATCTTTCTCCTAGCCTACCAAAAGCAGGCATTACTGTCAATTACTTGGCTCCTTTATTATTATCCCTTTTTTAAAATGAAGATGTGAAAGTTGTGGATTGCTGTGCCTAGTGGCAATGGCACAACCAAGACATATGTGAAAAAACCCCAATATGGGAATACAGAAGTATTTACTAAGATGTCATACAAACACACTGGTGTATTTAGATTATGCAGAACCTTTAGAGGTCTGTGGTGGATAAAAGTGAATTTTAAGATGATAAAATAACTGACAAATGAAGCAGATAATAACGTTTATTAAATAGTTGTCATTTAAGGCTATTAAATAGTTACATTTGTCATTTAAGGCTGTAGATTTGACATGAAATGTATTGCACGTAAATAGTAAGATACATTATAGATCCTTCGCTCTTCTGTTTTTCTGTCAGTAAAACTTTTCTACCAGTCTGAAAGAATATGAGGGATCTTCAGGCTTTCGAGATAGGAAACAGCATGTGCTGCAGTGTGGGGAGCTTGACAGAACAGCACATAGGAGGTACAAATATCAAATCAGAATGACAGAAACGACAGCTCAACATGAAACCCGACAGCTTACACTGTAAAGAAATTTAGCATATAGACGATGAGAAGCCATGCTGGAGCTCTGGAAGTGAAAAAGAGGATTAGTGCTGTAGCCAGGTGTTGGGGGAGGAAAGTGTCCGGTGGCTTTTGAAGACGCCAGTGTCAAGTCATGAAACCAAAGACAAAAATACTGCTCTCAGGGAATATCATCTACACCCTGCAGATGTCAGGTCAGCACCTCGGAGAGGCTGCTTTTATCTTTGTCCTCGTAACAAATTCTTCAGAAGAGCAGCAGTTTTGCCTCTGAAATCCTCCAGATGCTTTTTCCTGCTGAAGACTCTTTACACTGTGCTCATTTCCACTGTCGTTTCAGGCAGATCCCCTGCGCTGTTTGTACGACGATGTGCCAGCCTGCGTCCCTGGCCGAGGCTCAGAAAGGCTTCTAGCAGGGAAGTGAGGAAACACAGGAGAGAAGCCTGATCCTAGGACAGCAGTGCAGCAGAAAAACGGCTCCTGAGCTTAACAGAGATGAGCCAAAGGAACGCTCCTACTTACACCTCACCTTGTTCAGCAGGTGCTGGTGGGCAAAAAACACCCGGCGCATTCTGGAGACAGTATGGGATGGTGGCAGATGGGCTGTACGGTTTGAGAGGGGCTGTATGATTTTCTCCTCAAGCAGGAGAAAGGTTGGCGTAGGAGGAATTATGTTTCTATCCCACTGGAGACCTCCAAACATTAGGACATCTTAGGAATTTTAGTGCTGGGTCTCTGTGCACCAGCAGGTTCCTCTAAAGTTGCTCCAACGCACCTATGCTGTAAAAACACTCAATTCAGCCTGATCAAAAACTCCTAGCAAACTAACTGGACACTTTCTCAAATAATTATGTTTTCTTCTTTCACTAGGCTGGAAGAAAGTGGTTTTTTTTCAAAGTGGCAAAAACCATAAAATTCACTGTAATTTTTTTTTTCTCATGGGAAAGATCCACTGTGACATTCTTAATAGAAAAACATGACCGTTTTTCTACACTGCATCTCTTTATGAAAATACACATCCCTTAGCATATGAAAATTATCAAAAAACGAGGGGGGAATTATTTCAGGAGACTCTCGCCAAATTATTAGCAACGCTCTCCGTAGAAAACCACCCAGAAAAGGGAAATCTCATAAAACACAAAAGGGCAAACTCTGAAAGAAAGTTCTGTCTTATAATTCATTTTCTACATTCCCTCTCTGTTCTCAACCACAGAAACCTCCTTTTTAATTAAATTATCCACCAGTAGAGAAATACATGGAATTATAATGCACAAGAACACATTGCTACTTTAATATTCTACACTATTTATAAGACAGCACAAGGCTCAATTTTTTACTTTTAAATACTGGCAAACCAAATAATTTTCATTTCTTAGGCATTTATCCATGTCAAATTTAGAACATATTAAATTCACCATTACATCCTGAGATCTTTTTGCTCGGAAAGATATCAGGTCAGATTTCCATTTATGCTACATTTACATTTATATCCATTCTTAAGACCCTCTTCTTTGCCAGAACAGTTTAAAGTGGCCTTGCTAAGAGAAAATAGGGTCTATATTGTAATTTTTAAAAGCTGATTATTCAAAAAGGCATTGATTATACAGAAAAGTACACTGTATTACACAGAACCTCAGCTGGCTGATATTGTTCTAGTTTCATTTACAGCAGTCAGTTTATGTGGGTTTCCCTCAGCTGGGGATCTAGTCATGTATATTTTATGTAATTAGAGGATATATATTTTAAGCAATAACACGCAGAGATCTATTGTGTATATTTGGCAAATGTTTCTGCACTTCAGCCAACTGTGGAAACTGTGAGTTTGGAAGCTAAAGATACCAATTACACCCAAACTATATCCATATCCTCCTTTTATATTTTGCAGCTCTTGATTAAACCATCCATTGTCTTGGAGATAATCCAGGTTTATACCATTGCATCTGAACACAGAATATTATGAGACTATACATAATTTATATAGATTATCACTAAATATTATGACAAGACTTAGGTAGCTGAAGCTCTTTTTTTAATACCAGACCTGACCTTCGCTGTCACCTGCGAGGATGGAATTGCATCTTGTCCAGATGGTGAACACTCCCATCTCCCTTTAGATTCTGGACCCAGGACTAAAGGAGAATTTACATGGCTCATGGGCGTGGGACAGGCAGTGCACTTCATTCCAGCAACACTAACTCCTGTCAGTGATGGCAGATGAAAACGGGGTTTGCATTTTTTTAAATTAAAAAGCCTGTATTATTAAAATCACCTATAATCAATTGGGACTGAAGGCCCATTTGTGCTTTCATTTGCTGTGGTGAAACATCAGAGCTAGCCCATTGTGCTCTGTGGAATTACTGTAGGGCTTTATTCTCATAAATGAGAGCAGAATTTTTCTCTTAATCCTGCCTTTGAACCTAAGTGATTACAGCTTGAATGGCCTCTATGACTGAGACAACTGCTTGTCCCCATTTAACATATTCTACAGGTTTCACAGAATCATTTTCTGCGTGCCTACGCTGATTTTACAGGATTTTAACATCGATCAAAACCCAGATTGAAAAAAAGAAGAACTCTTCAAATCAGAATGTCCTAATTTTATGCTGGGACGGGTGCCCTCTGTAGTGACAGCCTCCCTCTGGTTCATATTGTTTCTAATGGTCTTCGACGGACACTCCTGAAAACTATTTATTTGAAAAAAAAAAAAAAATCAATAAATATATCTTTGTGCTAAAGCACATAACTGTACAAAGAAAACAGAACAAAAGACAACTGATGAAAACCATAGGTAGTAGCAGGTCCGACTATGTCTTATAATAAGATTCAGATATAACTGCTGAGAACATTAAAGCGGTAAAAGGGGCAAAACCACACAGCATATAATTTCAAAGTGACAACAACCAAAGTTCCTGGGAAAAAGAAGAACATTACCCATTCTGTACTCGTTATGTAATTGTGCTTGTCCTTGGACACGTTTCACCTGCAATCACACTTCCAGCAGTTCAGTGTAGAACTTTTATTACTTCCTTATATTTTGTCATCGTCATCGCTACTTATTTTTTTAAATGCAACCGGGCTTGCCTGCTTTAAAGAGGTTTTTGAAACATCCGTGTGCATGGTAGACATGGCTATAGTCTCATAATCCTCCTCATGGGAGCGGAAATGACAAAAATGAAATAAAAACTGCAGGTCCCTTTGGAAGTTCTTATTGAGGAACCCGTAGAAGATGGGGTTCACGCAGGTAGAAATCATGGCGGTGAGGTGGCAAATCAGGAACAGCAGGTTGTGGCTGCAGGTAGTGACAGGCAGGATTTCGTGATTCCAATCAAAGACGATATTAAAGATGGTGAGAGGCAGCCAGCAAACTGCAAATGCGACCACTATTGAGATCAGCATGATGTTGATCCTTTTGGTTTCAGAGGATCTGTACTTGCTGTCTCTCATCTTGTCCATCATGTTGTTCCTTTTTTTCAATCGTATGTATATCTGCAGGAAATTCAACAAAGAGAAACACGTGGGATGATTCAACCTACAGCCAACATCCCTGCAAGGAGAAACGAACACCGGACAGAAAGAAGTACGTATCGCAAGAGGATTCTCTCTTACCTTCAAGTAGCAAATAAATATGAAACAAAGCGGTCCGAAGTACTGAATCACCAGCAGCGTCGTGGTATAAGAAAGCCTGGCAGTGTCCCAGGGGAACAGGTCCAAGCACACGTATTTGTCCTTATATTCATCGAGCGTTATGTTTCTGAAGGGTTCATCTGTTAAGACGTGGTAGATCAGGAAAGGCAAGGAGGAAGCCGTGGCTAAAACCCATATGGCGGCAATCCCCACGTAGGCATGTCTGTTGTTCGGCCTCCAGCCACGGGGGTTGATGATCAGCTGGTGGCGCTCGACAGCGATGAGGACTAACGAAAAGACCGAGACGGTGATGGAGGCACACTGCACGAAGGGATTCAGCTTGCACATGGCCTCCCCAAAAACCCAGTGGTCCATTAAAGTATACACGAAGGTAAAGGGAAGACACATGATGGTCACCAGAAGATCGGAAAAGGAGAGGTTGACGATGAGGATGTTGGTGACGTTGCGCATCTCCTTTTGTTTTAAAATGATGACAATCAAGGCCAGGTTCCCAGAGACTCCCAGAATTATCACCGTCCCGTAAGCCAAGGCCAAAGTGAAGACCATGGCCAAAGGCACGTGGCAGTCCTCATCCTCAAACTGCGAGAGCTGCGAGTTCTTCTCCGAGGAATTCAGGTGCCCGGAGACGTTGCCCAGGGGGGCTCCGAGAACCGAGGCGGCCATCTCGCTGCCGGCCCCCGGCCCGTTCCCGCCGGCCGCGCCGCGGCCTCAGCCCGGCCCTCGCCGCCGCATCCCCCTCGCACCGCCTGCGGAGAAGGGAAGGAAGGAGCACGGCCCGTCACCCCACGTCACGGCGCCTGCCACCCCCACACACCCCCCACAGCCCCCCCCACACACACACACACTCCCCCCACACACACACCCGCGGCGCGGCAGGGTCCCGCGGGGGAGCGGAGCAGCCACACACACACACACACACACACACACCCCCCTCAGGGCTCGCCTGCCCACGGCGGGGTTGGGGGGGGGGGTGTGGGGGGGGTTGGGGGGCTCCGCGCCGCCCCGCTCGCCCCACGGGTGGGGGGTTACCGGCGCGGCAGCCCGGGGGGAAGCCCCGCGGCGGGAGGACGGACGGCGGGGGGGGGGGGGGGGTGGTGGTGTGTGTGTGAGATCCCCGTGGGGAGAAGGGCGGCAGGCAGGAGCAAACCGCGGGTGGGCGAGCGGGGGACGCGAGCCCTTCCCCGCCGGCACAGGTCGCACGGAATAACGAGCTGAGAAGCGCTTCCAGCCTGCCGCCAGCGAAGCCTTCACTCGGTGTTTTACGCCGCCTTTTTACAACTTCAATCCTCCAAGGTCTGCTTTCTCAAGCTGCCCGAAGTGGAATTCTATCCAGCCATCGCGCAAAGCGGGGGGAAACCCCATCGGGCTGGTGTGATGGGTGGAAAAATTACTCCAAAAATTGCTGCATTCTTTTTTTTTTTTACCTAAAACATCCACTTGATGTTGAGCAGCCGAGTGCCCACAGCAGCACTGGCACTGAGTCAAAGGCAAATCAGGAACTCTGAACACCTTAATCTCAGCTAGCAGGACTGTGCAGCAAAGAAAGAACAAAACAAGACAAAAGACAAAAAATAGCAAAAAATGAAACACTGCTGAAAATTTCTTTACCCATCCAAGACAAATACGCACGCCTAAGTAACCACACTTTTGCAAGGCCTTGGATTTTAACATGGGAGAAACAGGGATATGTGTTCAGCATGAAGAGGGAAAAAAAAAAAAAAAAAAAAAAAAGAAAATAATCAAATAACCTCACACACCTTTACTGCAACTTGCCGTTAGTGGCAGCCCCACCGAATCTGGAACTTTCCCTCTGCCCACTCCCTCATGAGCTAAATTTATTGCTCACTTAACCTTAGGTTATGTTAATGAAAGTAATGCTGCTTAAAATTCACACGAGTGGGTTTCAAACCCGGCTCCATATGGCACTTATCACAAAAGCTGTAAAAACATTGCCCACTGAAATGTACTTCGTTAAAAGTCCCCCCGAATGGGTGAGCTTTTGGTCTTAAATGATACTTGATACAATATTGTCTCAGTGCCACCTAAGTCTCTGGTGCAGAATCCTCTTTCTCTGTTGCTGGGGGCAGACACCCTTATAACCAGCCAGGTGCTGGGGAGCAGAGCTGGGGCTGCGTCCGCAGAGCCGGGGTGCAAGGGCTGGGCTTGCAGCTCCAGCTCGTCCGGAGGGTCAGCCTAAGGACGACCATGCCAACGCCATGGCCTCTCGCTGGCATCGTCAGCTCACCCCAGCTGGCTCTGCTGGCTCTTTCTATTCACCACGTGGCTACGTGAAACAGCAACAGGCGATGTAGCTCACCTCTGAGTGACATTTTACTGTCAAAGTTAACATGGGTGATTTCGGACAAAAGACATCTCTGCCTGAGACTTGGCTACACCGATTTTCAAAACAGCAAGGTGTGCACCTGAGCATTATCTCTGAGACCTGCTGCCTCTGTTAACTAAATTTATAGGGTCTCCCTAGCCCCCGAAGTCTGTTTTAGGGTCCAATAAAGAACCTCCAGCCCCCAGGGCCTCTTGAAGCACCGCTTCAGACAGAGCCAGAAGCAGGTGCTTTACCCAAAGGACAAGTGTGCGGGAGATGTCAAGAGCCAGGACTCCTCCATTCCAAGAATATGACTTTAGCCCAGCCCGAAAATCAACATCTGGATTTAATCACGGTCTCCACTGTGACTCGTACAGCATGAGGTGGGCAGCCCAGCCCTGGGACTTGATGGGACAGCGGAGGCAGGAGCGGAGTGGGTGAGGAGCCGTGTCCTGCAAGGAGAGAACTGGGCAGGTTTTCTCACCAGCCGGGACCAAACTGCACACAGCAACGAGGTGGCCTGGGTTTCAGGCTCTTGGTTTTGCTTTTCCCTTAGCCAAGCTCTGCTCTTGCTTATTTATTAAATATCAAACTCAAAACCAGAAAATGCCACTGTTCCTTCTTCCCTTGCCTCTCCCCACAGCAGAGATGCAACCTCAGAGCATGGCTGGGAGCCAGCTCAGAAACACAGCACTGCCAGCAAGTGACAAGGAGTCCTTCCTCCCTGCCCACTTCTCCAAAACGGACCGGACATCAGGAGGGGGTGAAATCGCATCTCCTGGACAGCTGCACTGTTCCTTGTCCCCAGCCCCACCAGCTCCGGAGCCAGGAGGGACATCCCTGCCCATCCTGGGTGCTGGAGCCAGGCGGGGAGAGCCCACAGCTCTGCAGACCCCTCCAGGTGATTCCACAGTCTCCCCCGCCACATACATCCTCCCGACTCTCCGGGAGGATTTGGGTCAAAAGTTTAGCACCAACAGACAGCAAAGGTGAAGTAACGTGCCGTGAGGCGACTGGAAGGAAACGCACTGCAAAATTGTTGGAGCGCTTCAAAAGGAAGCATAAAACACCGTCAGCCCAAGCCAACGGTTCACCCAGCCGCTCACAAGTCCAACCTGGAGCCTACCCCTCCCTGGGATTTTGTCATCCGCACCCAAGAGAGCGAGCAAGCACCAGCCCGAGCAGCACGCAACCAGCCACAGGCGTGGGAAAGCAACCGAAGGGGAAACTCACCTTGCAACTGCCCTGCCCGTCTGTGGTCTGCTCAGGGGCTGGCTCGGGAGGCTGGATGGAGGAGAAGGAGTAGGGAAAGGGGAAGGATCCTCTGGTATTCCTCCAGCTCAGATCCTAAAGATTGGTGAGGAAGGGCTGGAGACTCCCCCTTAAAGCCGAACTCCACCTTATCCCGGTATCACATGATGGTGCTCTGCTGAGCGGATCCTGAAAATCTCACTGCAAGCACATCACCTTTAAATTACACATCTGGGGGTGGGTTGCCTAGTAATTCCGAAATAAATGCAATTAAATATTGAAACAAAAGAGGAGGGGGGAGAGCGCAGGGAAAAGCTCAGGAAGGGAGACAGTTTTAAATCGCTGTCTGGCTGTTTCAGCGTTTTGTCTGCAAGTTATTGCCATCTTGTGGCCAAACTGAAGATGGAAATAGAAGCTTTGCTGGAAAAGGGGCGAGGAGGTGAATTTAAGTATAAGGAGCAAGTTAACAAAGTTCGGGTTTGGCTTTTTAAACCAGTACAACTAGCTTCTGGTCTGTATTTATCATGAAGAGCGATGACTGGATTAATAAGAATTGTCAAGTTGCTGTTCTTGTTGTTTGGTTAGTTGTTTGGTTTTTTGTTTTGTTTTGTTTTGGTTTGGTTTTTTTCCAGCTAGAATTAAGAAGAAATTATTTTAAAATTAAAACAAGTCAATACGGTATCAAACCTCAAAAAAATACAGCTGTCACTGTGGTCTTTGTGGGTATTTTTCTAATTCATCCCAGCCAAGTGGTTCACCATCCTGTATGGCCCGTGGAAAAGGAATGGCATTTCTGCAGGTTCATACAGAGCAGTGGGATATTCCCCTGAAAATAAAGAACAAATCTCCATAGTAAGATGCAGAGCTGGAAAGGTAGTGGATGTTGCCTTGGCCACTCTTCTAATTCTTTTGAAAACTCCAGCTTCCAGCAACCAGTCTTCTTTTTTTGTTGTTCTTGTTGTTGTTGTTGTTGTTTTGTTTTGATTTGTTTTGCCTTTTTTTTTTTTTTTTTTTAATGCAGCTGGCATGAATAGCTCTGTAAACTGCTACTAGCTATAGGAGGATACTGTTTACTGAACAAATTCGTAAAAAGCAAAATGAAAATGTTCATTTCCTATTTGTTCTTTTCATGATCTTGAAATACCTTGTTCTCTCACTCACAAACAGCACTGCTGCAGATCTACTTCAGTGGGCATAAAACCCAATGAGTTTGGAAGTCTGAGAGAAGTTATCCAGGTAAACTTAAGCAGCATTTTGATAATGCCCTGACAAACCCTGCAGGCTGTATTAGGAGTTTGGTTTTCCTGGAAAACAGCAGTGCCCTAACTCTTCCAAGGCTCCAGATTAATTTTTCAAGTGTAAGGAATTACATGTTCTTACATTCTTGCCTTCAAGCATACTCCCATTATACGGCAAGACTGTTACATCGTAGATAACTCTCAAGAGAGGAACCATGTTAATTATAGCTTAAAAATTGGTTGCACATAAGAAATGATTGTGACATTTTTTGCAGACTGAGCCTCACAGTTTCAGAACCCAGCACTGAGGCTGATGCATACACTGTATTTCCAGGATCTTGGCTCAACTGCATCGTAACTGCAGTCTGCAGTGTGGGAAAGGAAAGTGCAGGCATACCTCAAGGTTGCTATAAACCAGTAGCCGGGGCACTGCTGACATTTTAATAGCAGCAGCCAGAAGATAAGTGCAGGCTGTTTACAATGCCGCTCAAGAACTTCAGTCATATGTGGGTCATTAACATGCACCAGTCTCCGTCTGAGCAGAGCAAAGGCAGTTACACTCAGGCAGAGATCCGATAAAGAGCATACTTTTGTCTGAAGCAGAGACACTCCAGGACATGTAGAACTGAGGACTCCAATTGCTATAGATGTGGAATGATCCATTCACATTACAAAAAAAAAAAAAAAAAAAAAAAAAAAAAAGATAATTATTGTCCAATATAGAGACTTTTAAGGACATTAAGAGTATTTCTAGGCAGGGAAAAAGTTTGGGTTTTTTTTTGTTTTTTTTTTTTGGTTTGGTTTGGTTTGTTTTTTTTTTTTGTTTTTTTTATGCAAGGATGATCTCCCTACTTCCCTGTAATGCTCTTACCCATATGGGCAAGATGGCAATTTCAAAAATTAAAATAAGCATTCTGTGATATAGAATTGTAGTACTCTGCCAACGGGTATCTAGAGCAGAGATACATTTTTAGGACCAGTTCAGAATAAGAGGCTTGGGTTTACACGGCAAGGTTTTGGTAGCGGGGGGGCTGCAGGGGTGGCTTCTGTGAGAACACACCAGGAGCTGCCCCCATGTTGGACAGAACCATTTTCAGCCAACTCCAAACTGGACCCACCACCGGCCAAAGCTGAGCCCATCAGTGATGTTGCTGGTGCCCCTGTGATAATGTAGGTTCAAAAATGCTGCGTACGAGCTGAGAGAGAGAGGAGTGAGAAAAATGCGAGAGAACCAGCTCTTCAGACACGCAGGTCAGTGAGGAAGGAGGGGCAGGAGGTGCTCCAGGCACCGGAGCACAGAGTCCCCTGCAGCCCCTGGTGAGAACCACGGTGACACACGTTGTTCCCCTGCAGCCCATGGAGGACCATGGTGGAGCAGATCTCCACGCTGTGGTCTGTGGAGAGGAGCCCACCCAGGAGCAGGTTTTGTGGCAGGATCTGTGACCCCGTGGGGGACCCACGCCGGAGCAGTCAGTTCCTGAAGGACTGCACCCCATGGGAGGGGACCCGCGCTGGAGCGGTTCACGGAGAGCTGCAGCCCGTGGGAAGGACTCACATTGGAGCAGTTCGTGAAAGACTGTCTGCTGTGGGAGGGACCCCATGATGGAACAGAGGAGGAGCATGAGGAGGAAGGAGCAGAAGAGGCAACGTGTGATGAACTGACTGCAACCCCCATGCCCCGTCCCCCTGTGCTGCCCAGGGCAGTGGGAGTGTAGGGGAGTCAGGAGGAAGGAGTGAGGTTGAGCCTGGGAAGAGAAGGGTGTGTGGGGCTGCTAGTTTTGTCTGTGTTTCTCACCATCCTACTTACTCTATTTTTAATAGATTAACCTACCACAGAGGCATTCATGTGCTATTCCAGCAAAATCCAAACAGAGACATGTCATTGTTTCTGCCACAGAAATTTCCAAAGTCTCAGATCAGTATGATCTTCTTTCTCCTCCATTTTGTCATTAGTCATGAGGATCTCCATTTCAGCAAGAAATTAAATGATTCATAAGACCTCATGTTTTAACAGTTTATCATTTCAAACATCGTATAAACACAGGTGGAGGAAGAGCCTCACAATACCTCTTTCATACTACGTAAATATAATAATTACCTATAGGAGAGCCAAGATAGATCCTACATGTCACTCAGTGACCTGAACTCACAGTGATGGCAGCAAGCATTGATAGAGTTGTTCACACTACAGATGGATGCAAAGTCAGGCTTTAAACAGGGCAGTGGAGCAATGGAAAGGGCTGCCTCGGCCACTGAGCCTTTCAAACATATGTGCTATACATATGTGTATATATACATATATACATACACACATGCTATAACCCAAGTCTTACTGCAAGCTTCCTGCTCTGCCATACTGTTGTGTGCCCACCTCAGATGACTGAGTCTGTTGGAGCTCTATCGATCCTCTCTGAAGCACTTCACATACATGTGGGCACTAAAGCACACTAATAAATAATCACTCTAGCAAACAACAGGCTCTTTTCAAAGTCTTTCCACTATAGCTGTAGAAAATACATGTTGTGCAGTAAATGCCGCAGAGCACCAGGTATGTTCTGTAGGAAACTCAGGCAATTAGCAGTTTCTAGCTATTCTGTGCATCTGCAGTCTCAACACCAAGCTGAGTGTCTCCAGCTGGAGCACTGAGGTCACAAAGATATCAAATGATTTCTCAGTAATTCTTATTCTAGTGCTGACCACTGTCAGGACGCGAGAACGCTGAAGTAGCAAGATAGCCATTGTGTTAAAGATTATCCTCTTCCAGGGAGGAAATTTTTTCGGTACATCAAAGGCACCCTGGACCAGAAGGCCATGCTTATCTGTGTGCGTATGTTCATTTGTGTGAAGGCAAGACATTACAAAAAGAGAATAAGTACAATAAACAGAACATAAGTGTGTCTCAACTAAGGAAATAGAACAGCCTGAGTAAAAGAATACATAATTTCTTTGAAGCAAAATCACTGAGAAGGGAAGAAGACGTTTTTAAGAAACACATGGAAAAAATATGCCAAGAGATCAAACCATTAAAATTCTCTCACTGTAACTCTCAAAACCGGAAAAGATGTCATAAAACGAGGCTGTCACTTTCACTACAATGTATTGTCACACGTTCAGGCAATGCAATCCCTCTGCAAAACTTAAAATCCACCAAGGGAAAGAACACCCTGAGAGTCATTTGTGGTTTCTACTGTCTATAAAACGAACTGAAGTCACCACTATGGAAATGAATGGAAACACTCTCTGAAGGTTTTTTAAACTTTATATTTATTGTTTTCATTTGCTAGTAATGAACGTCGGTACCACTGAAATACTTGCATTTCACATTACTCTATTCACAGATAAGGGAACTCATGCTTCTTGGGGCAAAAGCCTGTCAGCAACAGACTAAATAGGAATTCTGCTGTTGAGTACAATGAGGATAGCAGCAAATTTAGCTAAGAGCATGTTTATTCTGCAACGACAGCAACTGACACCAAACATAACAACACTTCATTTGACTGCTAATGTCACAAACCCAGAGAAGCTGTATGAATGATTATGTGGTTAATCTCTGCTGAGAGTCTTGCTGCTGCAGTTCCATTTTCAACAATGCAGCCAAGCTAACTAGTGTAAAGCTATCCTGATCATATGCAATGTTACTTAGAGACTGCTTGACATATAACCTAAATTATGTCCGCCTGGCTAAAATACTAAGTCATGTTTTCTGCTACAGGCACCCCACTCTGTCCATTCATGTTCAAACTCACGTACACTCATACACAAGCTCTCATCGGGCTTCAGATGAAGCAGAAGTAGGCCCTGTGCTTCAGCGTGATCATCCAGAAGGGACATTAATAGTCAGTGTGTATAACAC